AAAAAAAAAAAAAAAAAAAAAAAAAAAAAAAAAAGAGAAAGAACCAACGACTAGGGGTTCATGATCCTCATAACACCATTAAAAAACAAAGGCTACAATAAGAAAGGATCAAATACAACATTTCACAAGTTTGGTTTTCTAGAGAGAATATTCAGAATGTCAGATTGCCTAAGATCATCAGTCAGAGTATGGGATGAACTGAATAACAATCACTCACTCACTCACTACTGGATTCAAAACTATCCTCAAATTCATCCAAAAAATGATATCAATCAAAATCTCAATGATGCAGAATTGTTGTTGTTTTGATAATGGACGAACATTTGCAGCTGCATCATGCAACTTCCAGTTGGCTGAGACATATAACATTTAGTTTAGCAGCAGCAGCAGCAGACTTAACCCACTACAACAAGTTCAATCAATTCACAACCAAACGCAAAAAAGCTACAATAATTATGAAGTTTTGAATATCATCATCTGTAATGTGGGTTTGATGATCATAAGAATGTTTAAGAACACGACAGCAGAATTAACCCTGTAACGGTCCAAATCCACCGCTAGCAGATATTGTCCTCTTTGTATTTTTCCTTTCAGGCTTCCCCTCAAGGGTTTAAAACACGTCTGCTAGGGGAAAGTTTCCACACCCTTATAAAGGGTGTTTTGTTCTCCTCCTCATGTGGGACATACAACAATTTTGATCAATTCACAACCAAATGCAAAAGAATATCATTATCTGTTATGTTTAAGAACTGAGTTGTAAGGAAGAGGACTTACCCTAAACAAAACTGCAGCCAACTTTAAGCCTCTTTCCTGGTTATCCTGTAGAACAAAAGCAAACAATTATCAGTAGAGTGATGTGAAAATAATGATAATCTTCGCCTCTGATTACGCTCAAATTCGTTTTAAAATCAGTTTCAGTTTGTATTTCACAGTTTTGGATTGTCAAACTCATATAGAAGTAGATGGCTACAGACATGCTAAATATCCAAATTTGAGCCTAATGAACAGTGGCCAAAAGTCTCCTCACCTGAAGCAATAGATTCCCAAGGCAGTGGTGATCTCATGAATGACTGAAGTTGCAAAATGCAAATACAGAGCAGCTGAAGAAACCATGAAAAACAACATAATTCAACTACGGCGTAGATAACCAGTATGTACGTATACTTGTCGTAGAATAATATTTGTATACTTTACTAGACAGTAGAAGCTTGGTCTGTCTAACAGACCTATCAGATGAGATGATATCAGAGCTCATTAACTGATCTATGAATGTAAAAGAGAGGGGTAATCATACCAGTAAAAAGACAATAACCAAGAACAACCAGACTTTCATCAACTAAAGGTACCCTGCCACATGAATTTACAGATCTTTATTGTCAGTAAAAATGATCAGGCTTTCAATCTCTGCAAACTGTTCAATCCATAACCACATACCCGTCGTTAAGCCTTGCTGTGAGAACGTTTGCAATGGCAAGAGGAAGAAATAGTAGTGACTGCATAAATATTAAACAAACAAAAAGATCAACCTATGCCAGTTTTGTTCTAAATATATTATGAAAATTATCCAAAACACTTTACCAACAAGGCGGAACTAGCTTAATTTAAGCTTAGTTTATTCTAAATATTCTTAAACATCCTTGCTTTCCTTACCGTAATCTTCGTTCATCAAAGAAAGTTGTTGCATTCAAGCAAGAAGTGAACATTCAACATGGGTAGGCACCTAGCCTAGCTATGAAGTGTACACATTTGAAGCTTTATATACAGTGAGTATTGTTATAGCTTCATTTTTTATTTTCAATGTGTATCATCTAAAACTAGATTGAGCCGCTCGTTCGTATCCATCTCGAGACTTCCTGAACCAATGACTTCATACTTCGAACATGAATTGTATGACAGAACCTCATTAAGTAACTAAAAAATCAAATTAAAGAATTAAGGTTCAAGTATTTGGATTAAGAGTTGGGGTTTGAGTATAGAAAATTTCATTTCTAAACTGTAGATAAAGTTACAATACAGCATAAGGGCTACGCAGGAAATATAATGCCATAATCATGCCTCTTCGTGGTATTTTGGTTCATTAAAGCAACGTACCATGCACATTCCAGTTTTCAAGCCCTTGGGTTCATCACAAAGGTGAGCTAGAATCATTCTACCCTGCAAAACAGAATGAATGCTTCTATTTTAGAAATGCTCGAGTTCATTGTATTCAAGCCTCCAACTCCAACTAATGTAAGTCATCAATGCCATACAATGATTCAACATTCCATATAGTTGTAACCGTGAATAACCCATCAAAACAGCAAGAAAAAGGTAACATAGTACTTCATCAAAAACTCCATTTTATACCAATAACACTGAAAAAACAAACTCAGTCCACCAAATCCATGCCATAGCTTCTAAAAATAGGGAGATGGACGGTGTGTGTGTGAGAGAGAGAGGAAGAACCTATGTCTCACCACTAAGAATCCAAAAGCAAGTCCAGTTCCAGTTATAACCAGATGCGGATAGCTTCCAATAATGTCAGAAGGTGACAAATAATCCCTAAATGAGAGAAATAAATGGTGTAAAGGCATATGATGACTACAAATGTACTAGGTGAGGGAAAGGAAAATACAGTTAAGACTTACCATATTAAGACTCCTCCGACAAGTACTACAAATGGGTAAAGCTGTACGAACAATGAAACAAAATCTATTTATTATTACAGCATAACGTAGATAAACCAAAGTTCATTGACAATGTGATTGTTACCATCGCTAATGCTAATAGCATGTTTCCTTTTCTTGCCTGAACAACCTTGTAAACATTGTACACACTGCACAGAAGATGATATGGGGGTTTGAGCAGATATTCCAGTTAACAATCCTCGAAGTCGAAACACAAACGAAACATGAATGGACAGATTCTGAAAATTTATCATTTCATCCCATGAAGAAGAATCATGGAAAAATCTTGGCATTGCACGACTTTGAAAAAGGCAAGTATCACATGCATTTGGATTTCATTAAAAAGCTAGAAGACAGGAAACACATACTTGAATGCTACTGTAGGAATGACACCGAAAGCAGCCAACAAAATCAGTGCAGCCTTGAATGTAGGGATATCTGAGCATAAAATTTTTAGAAAATGATCAACCATAAGAAGAGTAACTGCTAAAGTGAAATGCCAAGTGAATGAGTAATTGTGATTAAGCAAAGAGGTCCAAAGGTGTATGAGTAGAAGTCTATATATCTGACATGACATAACAAGAGGAAAAAGAGAATTTTACCAACACGGGACAGGTTAAAACATAGATTAAATATGTCATTAAAGGGTGCAAAATATAACATATGCTTTGTCACCCTGTAAGGAATCCTCCTTACAATCAGCATATGACTTCATAAAAGAACAATCCCAAAGGGCAATTACAAGAACACTCGGCCTTTTGAGAGGGCTGTACTCTCCTTCCTGAGACAAAAGCCTTCACAAGAAAAGAACTTAACTCCCCAAAAGAACACACCAACTTACTTAAACAGTAGAATTAATGGAAAACCAAAATAAGGGTAGATTAACAAGAAAATTAGGGTGCAATTCCCAACCTGTCCTCCTAGAATATGTATTAACAACAGATGGTCTAACATTACCAACGTGGTAACATTAAAGTACAAAGCTGAACCACAATTCACTATAAAAACTGGTCATAGATAGGTACAGAGAGAGAGGGAGGGAGAGAGATGGATATTCGTAGTTAAGTGCTGAAGGTTTGCATAAACAAAATTTCATAGGTACAGTATATTTTAAGTCTTACCATGGAAAAAGGGAACCCAACTAAAAATTGGTATGGACTTCCCAAACTGTTGAGCCCACCACCCAGCACCTGGTAGAAGATATATTCAGGACTAGACGAACTTTTCTATCACGCTGGAAGAGAATTGCATATTCAAGGTAGA